CCCAGCCATTATCAGTTTTTAAATAGAGGAGGATAGGGCTTTACATTTTAGGAAGGTCATGATGAAAAGCCTAGAGTCCCAAGGTAGAAAAGGGAATGCAAAACTAGTGTCACAGAAGCCAGGGGAAAATAGCTTCCAGCTGTCTTCTAATAGCTGGTCCGTTTGTTGTATGAGCATGAGTGCTGTATTCTCTGCACACCCAGTACTAACATGATTTCTGAATCAAGTAAGTAAGGAAGTAGTCAGCTGTATCACACACACAAAGATCAACTAATTCTGTCAGTTGAGCTTAGTGCTGCAGTGCTCACTGGAGTCTTCCATGAGAGTGCTGTACTTCCAGCGGAAGCCAGTGAAGACTAAATGTGAGAAAAGAACAAGTATTGCCAGTCACAGCAGACTAGCCTGTGTCCCTTCAAGGGTAACAAGATTTTGTTGGGAAAACTCAGAGGGGCTACTCTAGGTCAGGGCTCCCCCATTTTTCTTATCACCTCTAATGCAGAATCCTTTTTTTTTTTTTTTTTTTTGAGACAAGGTTTCACTGTGTACTCCAGGCTGGCCTTGAGCTCACTTGGTAGCTGAGGCTGGCCTGGAGCTCACAGTGATCCTCCTGCCTCAGCCTCCTGAATGCTGGGATTACAGATGTGAACCACCACGCCCGGCTTCTCATGCAGAATCCTAAAGTTTGATTTTTTTGTTTGTTTTTATTTTCTTTTGTTTGGCTTGGTTGGGTTTGTCTCCTGTTTTCCTCTTTGGCTGCAATGTACAGCTGTTGGCTGTGGAGAAACCGTGAGAGAGGCCCTAGTCACGCTCCAGGTGGTCTAGGCAAGGCGCTTCGCCCCACACTGTGGGGCCTGGATCATTCCTGCCTTGGCCATTTCTCAGTTCCTGTGGCAATGCTGCTCAAAATCCCTTTCTACTCACCGGGTGCTCTGCATGAGTGAGCATGAGTGCCCGTGACCATGAAGACAGGGCAGGGATGGAGTAGCTTTGACAAGGGCTGCACAGTGCCCGTGTTCTGTTCTGAACCTGCTCCCACGCCAGCTTTCACATGGTTCTTTCTGAGGACCGTAAAACAGATAGTAAATAGGACTTTAGACTGAGCCTTGGACACAGTCTGTGTTGTTGGTAAAGTAGGAGGGAGAGGGAAGAGCTGACAGATCGGAGGTGCCTCTGCCTTACTGGTGAGTGAGCGCACCCAGGGCTTTGGCTCACAGGCAGGTTGGCCTCGGGCCCATCTTCTCACAGTTAAGTCAGGGGGCTGGGCTGCTGATCCGCAGGACTGGCGGGACGCAGAGCCAGGACAAACGCAAGGCAGTCCCCGGGAGCCTGGCGATGCACGTGTACCCATGGTGGAAGGTGGGGTGAAATCGCAGGCTCTTCCGGATCAGAGAATGCAGTATGATCACAGCCAGGTCAGAATAAGGAACCGATTTGAAGCCGGTCTTATTAAGCAGGAGGTTACTGGGCAACTCCGTGCTAAGGATGGCAAGGAGAAGGGAGGGCTGGTTTGGGTTAGAGCTGCCTTGCTGGCCCCAGAAATGTTTCTGTGAGCCCTGTCTCTGCTGCCTCTGGAGGACGGGGCGGGGTGAGGCGTCTCCGAGCCAGAGTGGTGTAGGGCTATTTTGAATGCAGCTATTTGGGGAGAACTGGTTGAATGCAGCTATTTGGGGAGAACTGGTTGCTGCCTTGTATTTATTTATAGGTCACTTGGGTTCATCCTCTCTGTGCAGACAGCAGCATTTGTTCAGTGAGCGTGTCCTCAGCCTCTCCCCTGCACTGAAAAATGTTCGCAAAGCCCAAACCAGAACCTGCGCCTGAGGCACTTACAGCCTCTGCTAGACTGAAAAGAGGAAGTGGCGTGGAGGAGCCAAAGGGGTTAATGAGGGTGCGAGCTGGAGAGGACAGCTCGAAAGGCAGCTTGCATTAAAGGACCTCAGATTTGCATGGGGAGAAAGAGTTGATGGGGCTCATATTAGCATGAGCCTGGTCCTAGGTTCAGTGCCCAGTGTGAGAGGGACAGGGAGGGAGGGAGGGAGAAACAGACAGAGGAAGAGACAGAGAATATGCATGTGAATGAGAATATTCTAAGTGGAAGGAAATGGTATGAGCAAAGGCTCCTTGGGTTTATTCAAGCTTAGTGAGGCGAGCATGTCTGTTAGAAGTTTGGATAAGGAGCGCATAGGGGAACCGGGGCAGGAAGGTGGGCATAGGGCCAGTTGGCTCAGTGGATTCATAGGCTTCCTTGTGGTATTGGAATCAAACCCAGGACCTCATGCATGCTGAGCACACACCCTATCACTGAGATATAACCCTAGTCAGATCGTAGACTTGTCATGCAGATCCTTTTCTTTTTTGCCTTTTTGAGACAGGGTCTTGCTATGCAGTTCAGGCTGGCCCTGAGCTCACTTTGTAGCCCAGGGTAGTCCCCAGTTCACAAAGATCCTCCTACCTCAGCCTCCCAAGTGCTGGGATTACAAACTATAGGCTGTGCCACCATGCCGGGCTCCCCCACCCCCATGCATTTTGAAAAGATTTAGCTCTTACTCCAATTCATTTTCCACAACAGAGCTAAGATGTTCTTTCTGAAATTCCAATATGAAGTCACTTGTGTTAAAATTATTCACGGATGCTCTATTTTTGTATTGGTTCTTTGGTTTGGTTTTTTTTTTGAGACAGGGTTTCTGTATGCAGGCTGCCCTGCCCTTGAACTCCCTTATGTAGCCCAGGCTGGCCTCAAATTCACGGAATCCTTCTGCCTCAGCCTCCGGAGCGCTGGGATTACAGGTGTGCACCACCACGCCTGGCTTTGTCATGCAGATGTTAACCTTGAGACTCACCTTGAATCTGAGGGCAGTGAAAGTATCGGCTTGGATACTTGTCCTGTGCTTACAGCAGTTGGCATGGTCAGGCCTGGGAGTTGGGTCTCTGCACTCTGAGGTAGGAGAGGGGCCAGCACACTGACAAGTCTGTCCTCTATACCAGATTATAAGCTTCAAGAGGACAAAGGGTCTTGTTTTGTTCTCTGAGGAAATGTTTAGTACTTAGAAAGTAAAGATAAATATTTGTATTTAGAGCCTAAAGTGCAATGTAAGACAGCCACTTACGATCCAGAACTAACTCTCACATGGCTGTCTTTGAAGCCACCGAGTCTGAGCTAAGCATGGTGGCACATGCCTGTGACCCCAGCACTCTGGGAGGCTGAGGCAGGAAGATGGCAAGTTCCAGCCTAGCCTGGGCAATTTAGCGAGAGACTGTCTCAAAATAAAAAGAAATTAAAAGGAAGTAGAGTGGGGATATAGCTCAGTGTGAAGGCCCTGGGTTGAAGCCCCAGAATCAGGAAAACAAAAAAAGGCCCCCAGGTCTGAGCAGTGGAGTCAGCCTAAGAATGTGATTCTCTAGGAAGCAGAGGAAGCATAGGGGTATGGCTCGGTGGTACAGTGTTTGCCTAGCATACACCAGGCCCGGGGCTCAGTCCCCACACCGGACCAAACAAAAAACAAACGAAAATACCAGAGGCGTGGTGGTAACTCTGTAGTTGACTGACCCATACTTTTGAGCCTTAGCCTGCCTTCTTTTCCTTTGGGAACCCTAGAACTGCCTGATAAAGAAGGATGAGAATGGCTACTCTGCCGTGGTGGCTGACTTTGGCCTGGCTGAGAAGATCCCTGATGTGAGGTGAGCGGCCCTAATGGATCCTGGGCTCACAGAGGAGGCCATGAAAGCCAGGGCAGCCCAGCTTCCTTCCCAGAGCCGGGACTTAGTCACAGCTCAGTCTCGCCTCCTGAGTTCGGTCAGTCCCAGCCTGTGCCCATCCTTGAGAGAAAGTCCCAACAGTCCAAAGGTCCCATTGTGCCAGGCAGTGGCACGCTCACTCTTATAACCCCGCCTCGCAGCATGGGGAGTGAGAAGCTGGCGGTGGTGGGCTCACCCTTCTGGATGGCACCGGAGGTTCTCCGAGATGAGCCCTATAATGAGAAGGTAAGTCTGGAGGAGCTCAAAGCCTGGTTCTCTGTAGAAGCCACTCTATGAGCAGTTAGTGCCTAAGATCACCCTCTGTGTTTACGGTAAGAATCGACATCCTTCCTGCCTAGAACAGGGTTGGCCTCTGCAGTTGCCCAGAGCCTGTTTGTCATCAGAGGTGACTTGGATAATAGGGCCCAAATGAGGGTGGTTAGACTTGGGGGCAGAAACCTCTCCCTCACCCTGTTGAGAGGGAAACCGCGGTCTAACCACCCACCAGGCAGATGTGTTCTCTTACGGTATCATCCTCTGCGAGATCATCGCCCGCATCCAGGCTGATCCGGACTACCTTCCCCGCACCGAGGTAAGCTGCGGGCCTGGGGCCCACGCCACCGGGGTGGAGCTGGCTTGTGGCTATGTGTTTGGTCCCTGGGGTGGAGTTGCTAGAACTCAGGTTGTGTGTACTTCCTCGAGGCAGCTCCCAACCTCTTCTAGAGAACAGGCCAGGACGGGTGGGGGGTGATGACCTGTCTACCCATACCCCTGTTCCCCCGCCGTACCCATCCACAGAATTTCGGGCTGGACTATGACGCTTTCCAGCACATGGTGGGAGACTGTCCCCCAGACTTTCTGCAGCTCACCTTCAACTGCTGTAATGTGAGTGTCTTTCTCCCCTGGCTATGGTCAGGGGCTAAGTACTTTTTTCCTGGTTAGGACTTTAGGGAGAGGCAGCTAATTAGTCCTGATTAAAATAAGGAACCTTATTTTTACTGGACGTGTAACACTAACCTCACTTCTTCCTCTTGGCCTGGCCACTCTCCAGAGCCCTGGGCCAAGAGGAGAAAAAATTGCTTTGTATTATCCAGTCCTCTGCCTGCAGGGTAGACCTACTGCCCTTTGCCTTGGATAGTGGAGCTCTGGTCAGATTTTATTGTTGGACTGTGGATCTAGCCAGTCCTGAGGCATACGAGAAAGCCTCTTATTAGCATTCATTTTTTTATGGGTCAGACCTGTTATGACCAAAGGGTAGCTTGTTTGTTCAGGTACCTCCCAAACATTCAGCAGAACTCAAGAACCTATGTGAAGCCAAGCATGGCAGAGCAGGCTTATAATCCCAGCACTGGGAGGCTGAGGCAGAAGGACTGCTACATGTACATATTCAAGGCCACCCTGGGCTACATAGTTAGCTCAAGGCCAACCTGAATGACATTTTTGAGACAACCTGTCTCAAAAACAAAGACCCAGTGTGAATGTACACCTTTGGAGACTTCTGTTCCAAATGAGAGTATCGGACAGAAGAGGCTGAGATGGGAAGGTTAGTAGGCAATAGTGTCTTCCCTGATCTAAACCTTGGGAATCACCCTCATGGCCTGAGACCTCAGTACAGAGCTCTTAGCTGTACATCTGAGTCCTAAAAAGTGCCAGAATGCGATTCAAACTCCGTTTTTGGAGTGGGAAATGGAGGGCAGGGCTCATGGCCGGTGTGGATGCCTACAGATGGACCCCAAACTGCGCCCATCCTTTGTGGAGATTGGGAAAACCCTGGAGGAAATTATGAGCCGCTTACAGCATGAAGAACTAGAGAAGGATAGGAAGCTGCAGACTACCACTAAAGGTAAGCGATCAGACCAAGCCAGGTGCGCATGCCTATAATCCTAGCATCTTGGGAGGTGGAGGCAGGAGGATCCCAAGTTGCAGACTAGCCCAGGAAATTTAATCAATTTAGTGAGACCTTGTGTCAAAAATAATAGATACAGCTCAGGGTGAAGGTTCAATCCCCAGCACCACCAAAAAAAAAAAAAAAAAAAAAAAAAAAAAGGTCAGACCAGACAGCACAAGCTGATAGCTTATCCCTTAAGGCTGTGACTGCGAGATAGCAGGTCCCGAAGCAAGGAAGGACAGGAGGTCTTGGGAAAAGGTACTGGACTTTGATTATGATTTGATCTATTACTTCCTCTGAGTCTGTCCTCACTGATAAACTGGGACACGATGGCTGTCTCCTTTGCTTTGCCATGTGAGAACACTGTGATAAAGTGCTGCTGCTTCCTAACTAGCAAGAGTAACCTAGACGTGACTCACTGTTGCTCTCCAGGTCTCTTGGAGAAAGTGCCTGGTGGGAAGAGACTGAGCTCCCTGGATGACAAGATTCCCCACAAGTCACCACGTCCCAGACGCACTATCTGGCTGTCTCGAAGCCAGTCGGATATTTTCTCTCGTAAGGCCTCACACACAGTGAGCGTCTTGGACCCTTACTACCGCCCCCAAGATGGTGCTACCCGCACCCCCAAAGTCAACCCTTTTAGTGCCCGGCAGGACCTCAAGGGTGGCAAGATCAAGTTCTTTGACCTCCCTAGTAAATCTGTCATCTCCCTCGTATTCGACCTGAATGCACCAGGGCCTGGGACTGTGCCCGAGGCTGGCTGGCAGGAGCCCCCGGCCCCACCTGTCCGCCGATGGCGTTCTTTGCCTGGCTCTCCCGAGTTCTTGCGTCATAAAGCCTGTCCATTTGTGAGTTGTGAAGAGTCACTGTCAGAGGGGCCTGCACCACGCCTCAGCAGTCTCAAGTACAGAGTCAGAGAGATCCCGCCATTCCAAGGGCCTGCCCTGCCAGCCGCTGCCGCCCAGGAGGCCATGGACTGCTGCAGTCCCCAGGAGGAAAACGGTTTGGGCTCATGTCATGAAGGTGCCTCTGAGGAGATGGAGGTGGAAGAAGAAAGGCCAGCAGGCTCTTGCTCTGTCTCAGGTGTGGGCCCGCAGACCCGGGGAGAGCAAGATGGGTGAGGGAGGGCAGTCCCTACCTCACCTTGGGGATGAGCCTTCACCTGAAGCCACAGAGCCCCCCCGGTGCACAGCCTTAACTCTTCCCTGGAGCCCGCAGTGCAGCCTGGCTAAGCCAAGCCACGCTCAACTTTTGGGCTGTCGGTGCCCAATGGCTGCATATGAAAAGGGAGGCAGCAACAAAAAGCCTTCCTACTTAGGGGCAACTGCTGATAGTAAGCCTCTGAAATCCAGCAAGGAACTCTGGTCCTCACCTGATGCCAGTGCATTTCCCCAGACAGGACCAGGACCCCTAGTTCTAGGCCGAGCTGGCAAGCTGCTGTTACCCCAGTTCTGCTCCCAAACTAGATCTCTCTTGCCCTCTGTTGGGGCATAGAAGCTACTAGAGGTAAAGCGGAGCTGACCAGGAGGTATAAAAACACGACTGTTTCTCAGACCTGAAGATTGGGGTGCTTCTTGCCAGTATGTCTAAGACACTTGAATAACTGCTGTTTGCACTTACTGCATGGTCAGACCACGTCACTACGTTTCTATGCAAGGGGAGGGCAAGGCAGTGTGCTGGTCATGGCTCTTAGCTAACCTATTCAAAGACCTTTTCCAGGTGATTAATCTATTTTCATATTTATAAAGGAGTCTTAATGTTCTGCCTCATAAAACTTTCAACCTTGTGGTTGGGAGTGGGGCTAGTTTTGTAGGCCCTAGGGCCTGCTCTATGTATTTGTGAACAAATACATGCCGGTGATTAAATGGTTTATACTTGGACTGTTTTTTTTTCCCCTTCCTGCTATAGCTGGAGCTTTGGGAACAGTTTGTCCTTACGGGGCCGCAATAAGAAATAACCAAAGAATGAAGATCGTCAAATATTTTCATAACTCATTTCTGTTTTTTTGTAAAACTTTCCCAAGACACTTTCAGATTTAAAAAATAAAGTTGGTGTTGCAGGTGCTGGTCAGCCTTCTTGTTCCCCTGTACCTCAGCCTCTGAGTTGAGGAACATCTAAGGGGGTGCAGACAGAACTCCTCACCCCAACACTAGCAGTTGGGGTGACATTCACAGGTTAGAGACCCAAATGACGCTTTCAGGTTTCCTTCCTGGGCTGAGTGCTAATAGTAGTTGGGTCAGCTGCTGCCCCAAGCCAGCTTCATCTTCTGGTTGTGGGCTTTGGAGGATCGGGAGAACTGGCTCTTAGCCACTGTGAGGGGGACAGCTTTCCCACTCAGATAGACCTTGTTGTGACATTCAGGTAGCCAGAGTCCAGAGCTGCAGGCCTGGGGCCCCTGGCTCACTCCCACATAGGCCATCACGTAACCTGTCATAAAGGCGTCAAAGCCAGCCCGGTGCAGACCGTCCCCAGGCACTCGAGTAGGACTGGCCTGGCTCCCTGGCTCTTCTGCAGGAGCCGTGTCAGCTGTTTCAGGCTTTAGTGGCTGAGGCGCCATCTCCAAGTCATTTCCCTGACCTTGCTGAGAGCCAGGATGGTCCTTGGTTTCACCGTCAGTCACTTTCTGCTCCATCTCCTCAGTCTTGAGGCTGTCTCCGCAGGCCTGCTTGGTGGGAGGACAACCCTCAGCTTCCCTGGAAGGCTGAGTCCCAGGCATGCTCAACAAAGCCCTCCTCCGCTTTTCCTTACGCCGCCGCCTTCGCCGCTTGTCCTCCAGCACTGCCTCATCAGTGTCGATGATGAGGTCGATATCATGGGACCGAGGACACTGTGGTCCCAAGGGGCACCAGCCATAGGCCTAGAGGAGGAAGGAGGATTAGGAACAGGTTCTGATGTTACCCACCCCCCCAGCAAACAGGTGAGCGCTCTCACCGAGAAGTTGTCACAAACACTGTTGGGATGAGGACGGTGGGTGGCAGGGGGCATGCAGCAGCGGTAGTCAATGTGGGTCCTCATGCTAGGAGGATAGCGGCAGAACTCCAGGGTGAGGTGTGGGCTGCCGGCTGCCCGCTGCTTCCCATTTTCACGCTCACTGCAACAGCGCAAGAGGGTATTGGTCCACTAGCACATAAGCTCCATGAGAACAGGAGTTTTTTGTCTGCTGAATCCTCAGCACCTAAAACAGTGCCTGGCACATGGTAGGTGCTCAATAAATATCTTAAGTGAATGAAATAGGCTCATACCAGGCCCCACCCCATTCCCTCAACCATTCCCTCACCATTTCCGGAAGGCATATTCTAAGTAGGAGGCCATGAAGCGGGCATGAAACTCAGCTGCATATTTGGTGTCATAAATGCCTGCAGGGAACATCTCACACAGGTCTGCAGTGAAGGTCCCCAGGCTCTCGGGCAAGTGTGCGTAGAAGTTCTGGTACAGGAACACCAAGTCTATAAGGCCGTTATGCAGCACCAGGGGCCGGCGGGCGCGGATCAGCTCCAGGAACAGCGTCCGCACTGACTGGCTCTGACTCTCATCACCCTAGTTGGAAGGAGAGGAGTCACTGGAAAGAACAGTTCCTTAGAGAGCGTCTTCCGCCGGACACTCACCCCAGCCACCCCCACCAGAGAAGCTCTCCCTTGTTACCTAACCCGGTGCTACCCACACTTGTATCGGTTTGTTTCCCCAGCCCTGTCACAAGTGTTCCTCATAGCAAGAAGCAGATTCTCCCTCACCACCCAGCCCAGAGCATAAGTGACAGCCCTGAGGGTAGGCAAGCTGGAGCCCTACCTTGTCATTGCCCTTATGGTAAGGGATGCCCTGGGCATACTGCTGGTTGAAGTTGAAGCCATGCTGTACCAGGAACTGCACGGACTTTGGTTCTATAACATATTCTTCCATGCACAGCAGGGTGAGATTGAAAACCTGGGCCAGGTAGGAGTGTTCACCCTGACAGAGGGGGTTTGCTCTGTCAAGATTCTGGAGGAAAAAACCTCACACTCAGCGCTCCCCAGGATCTCGACCCTCCTCCTTCCCCCTTGCCACGGACCTGGAATGCCAGTGAGCTGGCCCATACCTTGTCTGGCTGCTGCTTGAAGCAGGCAAGCCCTAGAGAGAGCACAGAACGGGTCCTGGCGGCATGACACACGGCCTTGTAACGTTCTTCGATGCACCTGGGGGATGCGTTTGGGGGTGGCTGTGGCTTAGCTTGTGGAAGACCCAAACCAGCCAGAACTGGGACGTCCCTACCCCCACTCTGGAGTTGAGGTCTGTCTCCTGCCAGGAGTAGGACTCAACAGAAGGCTTGTACTTACTGGTTCAGCAAACTCTTCCTGTCCCCAAGCCCGCTTAGCTCCTATGGATGGTAAAGGGAGGGCTGTGACTGGCCCCAGGCACCAGCCCCTTCACGACCACCTGCTGTCCCTGTTCCCATCTCTCACCGTGTCCACAGCCACAAAGCTAGCTGTCTTTATGGCCAGAAGGAGGGACGGCCACATCTCCTTGAAGTTGTCACTCTGCACATCCACCACAGGAACCTGGACTCCTAGTTCCTCCCCAGACTTCGGGCTTTTGTTGACACCACCTGGGATAGAGGAGAGCGACGGATGCTCATGCCCTGCCAAGGTCCCACGAGAAGATGCCGATCTGAGGTAGGGGAACCTGAGTTTCCACTGGCAGCTCTTCCCTTAAGCCTGTGTATTCTACAATGCTCTACACACAGGCCTTGGAGCAGACAGTCCCCTGAACTTGGAGAGCAGAAGCCAGAGTTTTCCAGTAACTAAGACACAGGGAAATCACTTCCTAGACTTTTTAATGTTCTTTCTCCCCGCGCCCTGCAGGAAATGTTTTGCAGGGTTAGAGGATTTCAGCTCCCTTAAGACTCCGTCAGCCTCTGTACTACCGTTCTCATGGCCCCTCAGGGGTATGGGTCTCAGAGCTCGCAATACATCCCATTTCCTTTGGATCGCAGCGCCCAACCCGCCACATTCTGCCGAACCACAACTACGAAGTGGTGCGCTCCATTCAGACCGCATCTCCCGACCCGCCCGGACACTCGGGCTCCGCAGCGCAGCGCGGTGCACACCGGGATGTGTAGTCTCCTCGTGGCGGGCTCAGGCGGAAGGAGCTCCCAGGGTCCTCAGAGCCTTAGGTCTCTATAACTACGGGCCCAAGGCCTTTGCCTCCCCCGGGGCGCAGAGGCTTTGAGAGCGGCCCCTCGAAAGCCGCTCACCATCAGAGGCCGCTGGAGTCGACGCTGCGCTGTCCTCACTGCCCGCGGCCATGACGCTCCGCGATCCTCGCCTGAGCGATCGGTGGGGGTTCGGAGCTTCCGCTTTTCCTGCAGGCTCGACTCACGCCTTAGGAGACCGGCCTGGGTATCGCGCTCCGCGTCGCGGTCCAGGCGGACTTCCGTTCAGATCCGGGTCGGTGGGAGGGGCGGCTCGGCGCGCCGAGAGCCTATTGGCTGGTGCGGCCTCCAGCCTAGCCACGCCCGCTGGAGCGCGCCGGGAGTCGCGCGCGGGAGGCCGCGCTGGAGGTAATTTTCGCTCGCGCGCGGGAGTGCGGGTGCTGAGCGGGTCCGCTGTCTCAGTCTGCACCGCACAGGTGGGGATGGGCCGGCCGGGCATCCCAGAGGAGGGTGCGCTGCCGGAGCCGAGCGTGAAGCACACCTAGAAACTAGGCGAGGAGAGAGAGGGTCGCGTTGGGGAGAGAGTTCTGGGCCGGAGCCGATCCCTGGAGGGTGGGGAGCGCGGTGCGTTCCAGGAAGCGAAGGAGGCCGGGAGCGCCCCGCGGCATCAGGCTGCAGAGCGTGGAGAGCGACGGCCGAGCGAGGGTGGGGTAGATTTCCGTTAAGGCTGCGGCAGAAGGGCTGCCGAGGACAGGACAGTTTATAAAGCGATTAGGAAGAGTAAATGCCCTAGACAGAGTTTGAACGTGACTCTTGCTGCCGTGAGAAAAGTCTCCCTACTGGAGCCAGATCCTTCCTCCGGCCCGGTTCCCATTACCCTCAGCCCATCAGCCGTCGGCCCTTGTTTATTCACGTGTTTTAACTTCATCCTCAACTTTGCTCTCTATTGCATCCTTTTCATCATTATTCAGAGTTGCAAGGGCTCCCCATCCTGAAGGGACGCGCCTCCTTCGCCTCTCCCACGGTACTGACTGTAGTTTCTGCAGGGCTGATTCAGCGGGCACAGCGGGCGGCAGGACGTCGCTGAAGGTCTGGGCCAGGGCAGGTCTGACTTCAGGGGGTCCCAGCGAACCTCATGTGGCCTCTGGCCCCCAGAGAACACGGAAAATGGAATGGTGAAGCGGGAAAGGAATATTCAGTGTAACCGCACTGGGAAGGCAAAGGGGCTGGCGTCCTCATCCCTGCCCTTGAGGGTACTTCGAGGCGTGAGCTTCAGGGTGAGATGGGGGAAGAAGTGCGGCAAGGGCAGAAGATATACCAAACCCAACTGTCTGGGGTGGTCGTTATCGTCTCAGCTCTCTTTGTTATCGTCTCAGTGGCCCTGGAGCAGTGGTTGTCACTTGAGGGCGCATTTCCGTCCCATCGCAAGACGATTGCTCCTGCTTAGGCGCATAGCCTCAGTTCCCATCATGGGGTGACTGCTCCGGTATGGGGCAGTCTCGTCAGGGGGTGATCTGCCTGTAAGCTCGCTGTTTTCAGCCGTTTTAGGACAATGACTGGAGACTTTAGGTGCTGGCCCTGTAGCTTGGAACAGGACATTTAAAAGCTGGTGGTTGGTAATCTGTTGATTATGATGTCCCTGCCCATCTTGGAAATATGTACCTTAGTTTTTTGTCTGTTTTGTTTTTTTGAGACAGGGTCTTCCTATATAGCTCAGGCTGGCCTTGACTCACTATGTAGCCCAGGCTGGCCGCTAACTTTCAAGGATCCTCCTGCTTCAGCCTCCAGCCTCCCCAGTGCAGGGATCACAAGCTTGTGTCACCACACCCAAGCACCCTTAGTTACTTTTATCTTGGTGTCTATGGCATTGAAAAAGGAAGATTATCAGCTTTAGATGAGCGCTGGTTTTTTTGTTGTTTCGTTTTTGAGGTGGAGTCTTGCTGTGTAGTTCAGGTTGGGCTTGAACTCACTATGTAGCCCAGACTGGCCTGGAACTTGTGGTGATCCTCTTGCCTCAGCCTTCCAAGTGATGGGATTACAGGAGTGTGCCACTATACCTGGCAATAAACATTGTTTAAACATTCCTATTTGTAGAATTGAGCACAATTTCTAAAAAATTAATATTAGTACACTTTTGACATATATAATGATCACATTCATCATAGGGAATTTACCTGTACATAATATATCTTAATTCTTTTCTCTCATTTCCCCATTCCTCTCATTTCCCTTCAGTCCTTCTTAGCTTCTCCCTTTACAAAATTTTTTTTCTTTTCTTCTTTTTTTTCGTCTTTTTGAGACAGGGTCTTGCTATGCAGTTCAGGCTGGTCTTGAGCTCATTTTGTAGTCCAGGCTGGCCTTGAACTCACAACAATCCTCCTGCCTCAGCCTCCTGAGTGCTGGGATTACAGGTATGCACCACAACGCCTGGCTGAAACTGTTTTCTACCGTTCTTTTTTATTTTCTCTTAATCCTTATTCCTTCCCCACCCCAGCACCTTTGTTTCCCTTCCCATTTGAACATTTTCTTCCTGCTTCCCAATACAAATTCCCACTGTTTTAAGGTGGTAAAAGAGAAAGCTGCACAATAAAGGCAGACCCACATACCTTTACCCTGCTTTTATTTACCCACTGGGCATCTGCAGGCCTATGAAGAATCAGTGCTTTAAGCAAGAGTAGCTTCTGAGTGTCTGTTATAAGCAGAGACCTAATCCTGGCTCTTGGGTTTTTTTTTTTTTTTTTTAATAGATAGGGGGTCACCGTGATGGCACAGTGGTGATAGGGAAAGCTGGGGTGACAAACCCCTGGGCATAGTAAACTATTACCCTTCGTAGCGTGGCATGTTTTAATAGACCTGTCATGTGAGCTTGATAAAACACAGAAGCAGGTTTGCATAAAATGAGGAACTGTTACCAAAGAAAATTCCAAGTCCTCTAGCTGCACCTGCTCTCAGTCAATTTAAAAATCCCTAATTTTGGATGCCATGTAGTTGGACAATACATTATTAGTTTACCACTAGCTTTGCTGTAAAATTACCTCTGACATGTGGGTTATAACAGTTGCCTGGGCTACTGACTTTCCAGGCAGTGTTGGGCTTGCAGCTGTCTGACGGGTGACTAAAATGAGATAAAGGTGTGGCATCTTTCTTATATTGTGTCTGTCGCTTTATATTGTGTCTGTCGTCTTAATCTTTGGGTCAGAGTTTACTCAGCTCTGCACAAACATGTGGGTCATTTACATGATTTGCCCAAGATAGAGTGAGCCGGACATGGTGGTGCACACCTGTAATCTCAGCACTTGGAAGGCTGAGGCAGGAGGATCACCAAAACTTTGAGGCCAGCCTGGGTTACTTAGTGAGACCCTGTCTCAAAAAAACCTAAAAAAAAAATACAGAGTTAACTTGGCCTATTGCCTATTAGAATGTGTGTGTGTGTGTGTGTGTGTGTGTGTGTGCGCGCGTGCGCGCGTCTACCCCTGTGCTTCTTCAAAATCCACAAAAGCCCAAGCACTTGAAGTCCTCAGGCCTATCATAGGGGCCAACCCTATGGATAGACGATAGCAGCAGATGCACAAAAGTTCAATGGCCTCTAAAGATGGGTTGGCTGACCACTCAGTGGTTCAGATCCTTCACAAGAAGAAACATCTTTTGGAGCCATGCTCCTGGCCAATGGAAAGGACCAGACCTTTTTTTTTTTTTTTTTTTTTTTTGAGAAAGGGTCTTGTTATGGAGTTCAAGCTGTCCTTGAACTTACTATGTAGCCAAGGGTGGCCTTGAACTCACGGTAATCCTGCCCCTGCCTCCCGAGTGCTGGGGTTACAGCTGTGCACCCCCATACCTGGCAAAATGAGCAGACTTTATCCCACCCCAGTAAATCAATAAAAATGCCGGTCTCTGTTTGGGGAGCAGTTTGGTCACTCAATCAACTGCTGACTTCCTTCAGATGAAGCCTCCCCTCCCGCCAATAAAGCTTTCCTTGTGCGGGCCTGTGTGTGCTTGTGGTATTTGGCCCAGTCTCAGAATCATCTGTGGGTCAAAAGAACCTGTCATCTGCTATCATGATAAGCAGGCACTGACCCAAAGAATCACAAGGAAATGTGAAATTACAGTTGGTGTAAAAAGCTCCAGGGGAGGACACTGGAGTAGGTCTTGGAAGATCAGAGGAGGAACCTGGGCAAGAGGAGGGAGCCTTCTTCCATGTAAAGGGAGAAAGGAGGAGAACTGTGCAAATGGAGGGAAGTTTGTTTTTTTTCTCTAAAGAAGGAAGTTCTTTTGATGAAAATGAGGTGGTAATTTAAAGCTTTGTAAGAGTGCAGACTCTGGGTTTGCAAGATCAAGTTGCTTAATCTCTACAAGCCTGTTCCTCTGGCTAAAGTGGAGGTAACTGTACCTGGAGCCATCAGGGGGTTGAGCAAGAGATTCAGTAAAGCATTACATAGGGCCTGGCACACCTTTACCAAGTGTCAGCTGCCTTTTGCTATTAAAGAAAAGGTAAGTCAGGCCTGGTGGCACACACCTACAGTCCTAGCACTTGGAAGGCTGAAGCAGGAGGATTGCTGTGAGTTTGAGGCCAGCCTGAACTATAGTAAAACTACCTCAACAAACTCCCTCCAAAAAAAAAACCCCAGAAAGCTGGGCATGGTGGGGCATACCTGTAATCCTAGCACTCAGGAGGCTGAGGCAGGAGGATTGCAGTTTTAAGGCCAGCCTGGGCCGCATAGTGTGAGTTCAAGCCCAGTTTGAACTACACAGTGAGACCTTACCTCAAAACAGAAAAGAAATGGCAGGCAAAGATCAGTCAGATATGTTTTCTCATTGCTAATGGTCACCAGTTATGACTTTTTAAAAAATTTATTCTAAAAATAAAAGAAGTAAAACACATTAACAGACAGCCACTTACAAAATAGCAAAAGAACAATACAAACAATACAGATTTACAAAGAGTGGTAGGACATTAACAATGCTTGTTGTATTACTTATTGATATCTTCAAAGTGGTTTCTCAGGAAAACAAACAGAGACATGTCATATTGATTTACCAGATCCAGAAAAGATTAGGAATAGAAGCAGCGTATTGATATCTCCCCCTGAGTTGCCATCTCCCAAGGCAGGTCTTTCTCCCTGTATGATCTTTGGTTTCTCCTTTTGAGCAAATGGAGCTTTTGGACTAGATGACTACTAAAGGCTCTTTCAGCGTACCCACGCTACATCTGTAAGCAGAGAAACCTGGCCCCTGTTCCCGGACAGCCTGAGATAACCACTACCCACACATTCATCACCCAGAGCAGCAGGGATGCACAAGTGCTCCCCCACAGGAGGCCGGGCCTCAGTGTCTCCAGGGCTGTATTCATGCCGGGTCCCGAGGCTCCTTGCTCAGTTCTACTGGTCCTGACTTGGTGCTGCCAGAGCCCAGGGGAAAGCCGTGGGCATCTTGCATGCTCGAGGAGAGAGTGGACCCCAGATGAGAGATTCAGGGGAGAGGCGCTCTAACTCCTGCAGGGACCCGCGACAGCCTCACTGCCACTTCCTTTGCCCTTGCGGGGTCCTTCTGTTCCAGGCCATCATGAGGAAGCCACGAGTGGCCGTGGCAGGTGGCCGCAGGAAGCGGGCAGCCAGCCAGGAGGGGGGGGAGCGATGTCCCCGCAGTGGCAGCCGTGCCAAGCCGCCGCCCGCTGACGGTGAGGAGCCGGGCGGGGAAGCTGCTTTCCCTGGCTGTGAACGGGGGCAGATTCAAGCCGGGAAGGGAGGGATGTGGAGAAAGGCAGAAGGCGCTGACTGAAGGAAGGTCTAATTCTGCTGCCGTGTGACTTGGGGGAAACGGCTCTGGCCGCTTTCTCACGAGGAAACTGGGGTAGTCGCCTGGACATTTCCTCCCCATGTGGCTTTCATGGCGTCAAGTGAACTTAGTTTGGTAAATAGGACACCCTGCATGGCTATGTGTTATGCCTGGCTGAAGCTGGGGGGTTTTCATTATGGCCAGAAACAATGGAGCCAGCAGTAGCACACAGAAAATTAAGGCCAGAAGTGGGGCCAGAATCTGGTGTCCCTCCAGCTGCAAAGCTGAAGCAGGGGGCTGGGTTGGGGGAAGCTCTAAGCGGGAGCACCTTGTTCTAGGGCCTGGTGCTCAGCCTGTGCAGGGATGATCGCTGAGCATCCTCGGGCCCCCGCAGGCCTAGCTGCACAGCAGGAGGAGGCGGTATTGCAGGCCCCCGTGTGCCCCTACCATCTGTTCCGAGACGCAGCGGAAGTCACAGCCTTCCGGGGGAGCCTGCTGAGCTGGTACGACCGGGAGAAGCGGGACCTGCCTTGGAGAAGACGAGTAAGCAGGCGAGGGACAAGGGGGCTGGGGCGGGAGGCTGCAGCCGACCCCTTCCACACTAACGCCCCTCCTGGGCTGCGTTGACAGGCAGAGGATGAGGTGGACCTGGACAAGCGGGCATACGCTGGTCAGTGTCTGAGGCGGGGTTGCTTGCCTAGAAGTCTTCAGGTTCGGGGCTGCAGGCCAGGACCAGGCAGGTGAGCGGTGCACTCACGCCAGCCTTCTCCCCTAGTGTGGGTGTCAGAGGTTATGCTGCAGCAGACCCAGGTTGCCACAGTGATCAACTACTATACCCGATGGATGCAGGTGATGCCGGGAGGGGGAGGGGGAGGTCGGGTCAGGCTCCAGATGAAGCCTGCACTTTGGGGTGGGTGGACAGCAGGCTTCCCTCACCACCTGCACCCTTTACCTGTTTCTTCTTGCCTGCCTTGGGGCTGCAGAAGTGGCCAACGCTGCAGGACCTGGCCAGTGCTTCCCTGGAGGTGAGAGCTATCCTTGGGTAGGGGAGTGGAGTCACCTGAGGGACTGGCCACTGATTTCTTTGCTCTGTGACGACATCCACAGGAGGTGAACCAGCTCTGGGCTGGCCTGGGCTACTATTCTCGCGGCCGTCGGCTGCAAGAGGGAGCTCAAAAGGTAAGGAGGGGGCTGGGAGCTGGGGGCCTCAGGGTCTGAGGTAGCTCATAACCTTGAGTTTTCCTACCCTAACTAGGTGGTAGGAGAGCTAGGGGGCCATATGCCACGTACAGCAGAGGCCTTGCAGAAGCTCCTGCCCGGTGTGGGGCGGTACACAGCCGGGGCCATCGCATCTATTGCCTTTGGCCAGGTGAGCTGGAGCCCACTGGCACTTTGTGTCCTCCTGCCCCTTGCTCCCTGCCCAGCCTAACTCTTGGGCTCCTCTGTACCAGGCAACAGCTGTGGTGGATGGGAATGTCGTACGGGTGCTGTGCCGTGTCCGGGCCATTGGTGCCGATCCCAGCAGCACCCTTGTCTCTCAGCAGCTCTGGTAGGATACTGGAGGACGCTGGTGATGGAGGCAGTTGGCAGGGTCTCTTCAAAGACTGGCTCATAGTGGTATCCCCTTCTCATAGGAGCCTAGCCCAGCAGCTAGTGGACCCAGCCCGGCCAGGAGACTTCAATCAAGCAGCCATGGAACTGGGGGCCACAGTGTGTACCCCACAGCGCCCTCTCTGTAGCAGCTGCCCTGTGCAGAGCCTGTGCCGGGCGCACCAGAGGGTGAGCTCCCTGGGGAAGGACCAGCCAGAGTCCCAGAGAGGGACCCTTCCCCGTTACACTCTGCCTGTGCCTCTCAGGTGACTCGAGAGCCGCTCTCAGCCTCACGGAGCCTGCCAGGTGGTCCTGACGTGGAGGAGTGTGGTGAGCACAGCCCCAGCTGTGGCCCCAGCGCCCCGGCCATCAGGCAGCAGCCTGTTGAAGCCTCATTCCTGAGCAGAGTCTGTAGAGCTGGCCCAGCATGGCCTCTGGGCTGGCCACCTCATCCTCGTGGCCTGAGCATGACTTGGGGGTCTTTGTTCCCAGCTCCCAACACTGGACAGTGCCAGCTGTGCCTGCCCCACACAGAACCCTGGAACTGTACCCTGGGAGTGGCCAACTTTCCCCGAAAGCCCAGCCGGAGGCCCCCCAGGGAGGAGCACTCTGCCACCTGTGTTCTGGAACAGCCCAGAGCCACTGGGGGTGCCCGCGTGCTGCTGGTGCAGAGGCCCCACTCAGGTACCAGGGTCCTGGGCCTGGGGGCAGTGGCCCGAGCAGCAGGGAGGGATGGAGAAGTCAGCAGCCGAGGCCCCGAAGTCACCACACCAGGCTGCTCTCTCCCTCAGGCCTGCTGGCAGGACTATGGGAATTCCCAGCGGTGACCGTGGCACCCTCAGGACAGCATCCCAGCGAGGCTCTGCTGCAGGAACTGCGGAAGTGGGCCGGGCCCCTCCCAGCCACCCGCCTGCAGCACCTCGGGGAGGTAAGCGAGTGGGAGGGGCCAGCAGTGATGGCCGCAGGGCCACGGCCGCAAGCCTGTTTCTGCCCTTGCCTCTCCCTCAGGTGGTGCACACCTTCTCGCACATCAAGCTCACTTACCAAGTGTTCGGCCTGGCCCTGGAGGGGCAGACCCCGGGCACCACCGCACCACCTGGCGCCCGCTGGCTGACGCGCGAAGAATTTCACACTGCAGCTGTCTCCACTGCCATGAAAAAGGCACTACAGTTGTTGTCTACATTGTCCCTTTTTGTGTTTCCTACCTGCCGCAATCTACATAAACTTACTGTATAAAAAGGAAAAGGCACCAGTGAGAGTGCTGGGGCGTGAAGCTGAGGGCAGAGCATGGGCGTTTGGCTAGGCAGAGAAGGTGCCAGCCCCGTCTTATCTCCTTCTCTCCTCGGCCAGGTGTTCCGAGTGTATGAGGCGCATCGGCCGGGGGCCTGCAGGGTGAGTCTCATGGCGAGCACCTCTCCTTAGACCCGAGTCCATGGCTTTCCGGTCTTTTCTTGCCAAATGTTTGGTCGAGCATTCTCCAGGCTTTACAGGGGACAGAGGAATAGTGCTTGAGCTGGGGATCAAGGCGATAGTCTTCCAGGTGTGTGAGACGTTCAGGGTAGCTCTGTGGGCTGCAGAGTGGGGGCCCCCAGTTCTGTGTGGAGGAAAGACTCGAGAAAGGCCACTGGGAGGACGAGGTTGCTAACTGGGGCCCTAAGTTATTTTCTCCAGGGGTGGAGGAGCCACAGCAAGGATGAGGCCTAAGAGCAGAGGTGCAAAGGGGCACAGTGCCGTCTGCAGTGCTCAAGCAGCTGCACACAGTTTAACTGGAGGTTGGCTGCACCTGCCCAGCTCGGCCAGGGCCTGAGAACCAGGCTGCTGATGCATCTCAGGTGGGGGAGTTGGATTTGTACATTAGGGAGATTTGCTTGGATTGCCTTTTGGAGAGCGGACTGAAGGGGCGGATGCTTGGAGCCAGGCGGAGGGCTCTGTTGCATTCTAGGCCAGAACCTGCTCTAGACCAGTAGACTGGGGAAAAGGAGAGGATCCCCTGATGTTCCCTCTTTTGGCTTCCGTACAGAGTTCCAGAAGTTCCCAGGTGTCTACTCCGTCCAGCTGGAAGAAGCCCAGCCGGGGCCAGCAAGTCCTGGATAATTACTTCCAGCCTCTCAGCTCGCACGCAGCCCAGTGATGCCTCTGGAATCCTATTGAGCTCTACCTCTGAGAATCCTGTAGTTTAATAAAGTGCTTATTTTTTAGTCATCTGGAGAGCTTTCTATCCTCTCCCCACCACCTTCATCTCTCCCCGAGGAGGAGCCCAGAAAGTGGTGGGTGGGTCCTGACTCCCCGGCTGAGCTTCCAGATAGCCTGGGCAAACGGGGTTCCCTCCAAAGCACCTGCTTCCCCTTCCCCTGCAGAAAGTGGCAGCTGCTGCAGGGAACACCTGCCAGGGCTGACGCCCACGCCTTCACTCTAGGTCTCAGGTCAGCTATGACTGGAGTAGTGACGTCACCTAGGGCAGGTGATTGTGATAATCCTGACTCAGTTTGTCCCCACCTGCGGTGGTCGCTCCCTTAGGAAGGGAAGCACAGGAGGATTTAGGCTCAAATTCCTACCTCAAAAACTAAATACTTCAGGATATGTTTCATATGTAGTGAAACATTACAGAAAAACAAAGGGTTAATAATTAAAATTGGAGGAGGGAAGAAATGTGATCAGAGAGGATTATAAGGGCTTCAAAAATACGGGTTCTGTTTGACCTAATGGTGTAATTCTTTGCTTGTTCTTTATATCTTGCGTATGTATTAGATATTAAACTGTAAATAACTTGAGTTTGAAAAAAAAAAAAGTTCCACTTTGGAGCCCAGGGAGCTTCAACTGGAGGCCACACTGGGCCCCTGAGAGCGGAGCTGTTCACCGGCGGGCTCCGTGGGTGTGGCTCAGAACCAGCAGACCCTGTGCCGGGACCCCCAAGGCAACGGGACCGGTGAGTGCTCCCAGCTCAGGGTCCCTTCAGGCTTCCTGGCTCCTGGTAGCTTCCTCTTCCACTGACTGCCATAGTGCCCGGATGTTCTCCTGGCCGAAGCCTGTGGCCCCCTGCCTCTGAATCAGTTCCAGAAAGAAGGTGCCCTCAGCAAAGAGGGACTTGGTGAAGACTTGTAGCAGAAACTTGCCTTTCTCACCATCTATCAGGATTCCCTGCTGCGCCAGAAGGCTAGGTTGGTGCCCCGCCGCACGGATCTGCCCCTCCTTGCCAGGCTGCCGGTAGTACGCCTCAGGGGGCGCGAGGAGCTCGCCTCCTGCCACCACCATCCCCTTCGCGGCGTCCAAGATATTGGGAGTGTACAACCCCACGTGCTGCAGGCCCGGCCCCCGGTGCCGGGCCAAGAACTGCTCCACCTGATCCTGGGTGCTGGTGGCTCCCGGCAGGGACTCGGCCAGCACGAGGGTGGGGACAGCGCTGCACGTCGGGGTCTGCAGGGCGGTGAGCCGCAGCCCCCCACGCCCGGACCTTGCAGCCACCTCGAGGCCCAGCTCCGGATCCTCGCCTGGGCTCAGAGGCAGGTGGCGAAAGCCCAGGCAGTCGTGAAACCATCGCCGAAGCGCAGGGGAGCTGCCGGCGGTGCAGGCCAAGGTCAAGTGGTCCACGTGGCTGACCCAGCCCGGGCCGGGCGCGGAGGGCACCGGTCGGAAGCCCGGCAGGAAGCGCCCGCGGTAGCCCGCGCGCGCCAGCAGGGTCAGGCTGAGGTTTCCCGCGGGAGAGCTGAGCACCGCGTAGGTGGCCGCGCCCTGCGCGTCCCGCACGCTGACGGGGGGCACCTGCACGCGGCAGCCCT